GGCCGGCTTGAGGAGGTCGAGCAGGAGGCTGAAGACGCGGGTCCCGCAGCTGGCCAGGAAGATGTCCCGTTGTTTCTCCTCCGGCGTGTCGTTCGCCCGGAAGAACACGTGGACTTGTTCTTCGTAGACCGGCCAGGCGGACCCATCTCCCTCGAACGGCTCGAGCCTCCCGTACAGCGGCATGGCGACAGGAGCGGGGTGCGGTGTTCCGACTCTCTCGGCGGCGTGGGCCGACCCGTGCACGTTGGTGGGCTCCAGTGCCACGGTTCCTCGTCGCCAGTGTCACGATCTTTCTCGAACGTGGACGAAGGGGCGGAAGCACCCGCCGAGAAGAGACGACACGCAGCCTGGTTGTGAGGGTGGACGATGACTGACCGGAGCACGTGTGCTCACGGTGTTTATTAGCGAGGTGAACAATGTTGCCCGCCGAGCCTGGCGGCCGCAGACGGGCGGACTGGAGGGGGGCGCCACTAACTTGTTACACTCATGTGCATGATCTATATACGTCGCAGAATTAAACCCGCTTTCGCGGTGAATAAATTCCCACAACGAAATGGCTCTGTCATTTTACGCGCATCGCGCGCACGTGCTTCATGCACAGGCTAAGTGAACTGATCTGCCTACACCAGGGAGAAAGGGGGTTTTGGAAATGTTCACCCGAGGAAAATGCTGAGAGGCTGCATTCACCATACTTTGTTATATATAACCGTTGCGCGTTTCTTCAAGAATCAGCGTAGCAGCAGCAGCCATTTTCTTTTATTACTTCGTACACGCATCTGTATATTTTTCTGGGGAAGGCAGTTCCTCGCTTCCCTGCGGTAGTTATGCTCAAGATGCTCACGCGACATGTCAGTAGTGTGGCCCAAGCAAAACTAAAAGGCAAATGAAATAGGCTGGACGTCAGGTGTAACCCACGGAGCCTTCATTCAAAGGAGGTCTAACTGCTGCATTCCGGCATAAGCACTACCAATTTGCGCCGGATTGCTTAAAATCAATGGCCATCCGCTAGAAAGAAATCACAAACAAAAAGCAGCAGCCTTCGACCAAGCCTGCTCTGCTGACATGCTAGCCGCTTTTTCCTATGCACACTTTCCGAACTTCGATTCGCGCCCCGGCGTAACTATGACGACAAGCGGAAGGCTTCAGACACAAAGCTGCGTTTGCTCTCTCGTCGCGGTGCGAGAACTCGCCAGGTTCAATCGGTAATAAAGAACATAAGTCTCTTCGTATGGCGGCCCCTGTCTTGTGGGATTCTGCGGCAAGGCTCCATTTGGTTCTACTGTGTTCGGTGAGCTTAGCGAGTGCGAAAGTGATTCAGGGAGTTTTGGAAACTTCAGAGGTAAGCAACGTTTTCCTGAATATAAGTCCGAGTAGTAATGTAGACAGTTGGGCGAGTTGGTATAGACTGAATATAGTTATAGTTGCGCACAAAATGACAGGGTCGTCTACGTGTTCCTTTTCTCTGTTCCCGTCCTTTTGTGCGCAACTGTAACTATGTTCAATAAGTCCAAGTTTCGTCCCTTTGAAGTATCGGGTAGTACCCCAAATTATTGGCTCATAGAAGGCTTCACTCGGCGGAAAGAAATAAAAGGAAACAATGAACGTCCGACTATATTTATACTATGGTTACGGAAATCTCTTTAAAATACACTTATTAGCTCTCTTTCTCTCTCTCTCCCGTGGTTGCGGAAACTCAAGAACACTATTTCGTTTCAGCGTTTCAGCACGCATACGTACACGGAGACTGACACACGACTGTCGACTTTTTCCTGTTGGCCTCACACAGTTGAAAGCATTTTATGAAAAATACCAAAGAAATAAATCGTGTTCGCGAGCGGCACCAAATCAGGGGCGGACTTATGGGTCAGGCTTGCGTTTGTCGTGTCGATGTCGTGTTTGCGCTATTTCGTGCAGTACACATATGTGCAGAGAAATTACGCAGATACATATCTAGATACCTTTGAGCTATGTATATGTCAGTTGTCTATATTACAGCTGAATTACCTCACATTTCTGAACTTCTTCGGCTAAGAGATTCACAGTGCGCGAATGAACTATAATTGACTTATCAGAGTTACTGAGTTTCACACGAAGTAACTCTGATAAGTCAAAGAAGTGACTCCTAAGCAGGGTTGGAAAAGCTAATTAAAAATGTACCTAAGATACTGTTCCAGTTACTTATACAAAAAGGTACCTTGGTACATACCTAGGAACTCGCTTAAAAATGTACCTAAGTAGGGATACAGTTACTTCAAATATACTTTCTCTATTTATTTGCCACAAATTTGTCGGAATATATTCCAAGTAAAGCTTTTTATACTAAGGATACACACAAAAACGAGTTCGATACATGCGTTTTATTGGTGTCAGTGTGAGAAATAAGGGAAACCGTATTCACGTGAGCATTCCAGGACACGCCTTTAATCGCAGTTTAGCAATGGTTCCTCCTACGCTAAAAACGCGCTCCACCACCGCACTGCTTAGAAGTCCAGTGTTGAACTTTAACAACACGCTTTTCAGCAGCAGCATGTGCTTGAGACACTCCAGGCTTCTTTTTGGAGCAAGTTTGGTGTACTGTACAAATTTCTGTTCCCATGATGCAAATGAGGACGATGTTTCGAAGTTAAAGAAGTGCTCGCAGTCTTCGTTGTCACCACTTTGTTCGCCTGACGACACTTTTTCCATAGTTGATATTTGCATAAGTTGATTCTTTAGATAATCCCAGACCCGCTTCCGTTCGGCAGATATTATCAAATGTTTTTTGTTCTTTTATACCTGCAAACCTCTTGTCGATCTCCGTGATTAAGCTATCGACCACCGGGCGGTAGTAGCTCAAGTCCTCCGTCAGCAATGTGAACATCTTTCTGCTGAATGAACCACTGCAGGCAGGAGATAGGCCACGAACATTCTGCTCTTGCGCTGGAGAAGAATTATTGCTTGTGCCAGAGGTGTCAATACCTTTACATACTCGTCAATAAAGTCAATGTCTGACTTGCTGAATCGCAGAATTTCGAAATTCTTACAAACTTCCTTCAGCTTTCTCTCACTCTGAACAAGCATTCTGTGAAGTGATTTGAGGCAATCGTATGTAGAATTCCACCGCGTGAGCACAGGCGTCGGCGAACACCCTTCACAGCCTGAAGAAATGGCTTCGACAACCACATTAGACCGCGCTCAAATGAACACCGCCATTCGCTAAAGTGTCGTTCGATGAAACATTATGGGCGGACTTCGTTCGCTAAAACGTCTTTCGATCGAGTCAGTGGCTCCAAGGTCGTACCCAACTCAACGTTAATCACCGCACATGGTAGTATGTCAATATTTCAAGATTTATAGATTCTGCCATTTTGACGAAGTGAATAGAAAAGTACCTGCAAAAAGTAACTTCACCTAGTTACAAGTTAATGGAAAATGTGCCTAAGATAGAGAGTCAGGTACCGAGGAATGAAACTACCTAGGTTTGTATGTCAGGTACAACAAAAGTACCTAGATACCGATATCCAGATGCTTGTACCTAGGTATATTTACAACTCTGCTCTTAAGTTACGCACGGCCATGAAGAAGCCGGCATTGCATAGTCGTGCCAACATCTCCATATCACCTGGCATATTTAGGAAGGATAAGAAATGAAGTGCGGGTGGTGCATGGCAGAGCGCCCCCCTCCCTCACCCCCCCCCCCCCCAAACACACACACACACACAAATAAACGAAGTTGTTGCTCAGAATACCGAAGAAAATGTTTAGGCAGGCACAGATGCAAATATTTGATATATGTGCCAGATTAAAAACAAAAACAAAAATCTACGAAGGGGAAGTGTTGTAGTGGGAATGGGCGCGAGTGCAAGCATTAGACGCTGCTTCTCTGGCGCGAACATTCGTGCAAACCGATCATTGTACAAAACTATAGGCCCGGGCGCATGTGAAATTAAGCATAATTTGCATATTCTAGTACTTTTATCAAATTCTTTTTTATCTACATGCATGCATCGAAACGCACATCATGAGCTCTGACAGGCATAAGAAAACACCTTGCTAAAATTTCTTTTAAAAGTGAATCTTAACATATACAGCTGTTATGAAAAAATGCTTCGTTGTTTTGATACAAAACTAAAGTCAATGAAGTAAGAACAAGTAGATCGGGGAACATATGGTGGTTCTTACTACAAACGAAGCTAGTTTTCTTACTTTTCTTTACGTACTTTTTTTTTCTTTTTTTTGCCACGAGTATAAAATTTGGCCCTACTCCAGAATGCCCTCAAACTCCATATAATATTTACTACGCGAAATATTAGCATGATTTGTTATGTGCGCTTTAATAACTTAAAAAAATGGATATTTCTCCGTTCTCAAGTTAACCGCAGTGGAATCAATCCGTTCTAAAAATTAAAAGCACTTTTTTTTTTCTTCACAAATCGATCGCGTTGTTTGTTTTATTGACCTCTGAAACTGTAAAGTGCTTTTTAAACACATGTATAATTCTGTCCCCAAAAGTAGTATTTATAAATGGTCATTGCTGAATGCGAGTGGAGCAGTATCTGTAGCGGCTTAAACTGCCCAGTCACCGGGAGCTAAAACAGATGACCCTCAACCAGCTTACGCGCATTATCTGTGGAGCCCGTCACCTGCAAATGTGCTTTGTAGTTTGTATAAATAAGTAAATTTGTGAAGACTATCGGAGTTTTAATGTCTTCACAGTGCTGTAAAGATACGGAAAGTATTGTACTTGTAAGGGAGCATATCTTAACAGTTTTGGAATACATCAGGATATACATTCCAGGTACTACTTGTGCTTACTAAGACAATCGCGGCCACTTAGTACATATCAATCTTTCTCTTGAAACATTCGCTAAACACAAAACGATGCCTCGACAACTCAGACTCACAATTGAGAAAATCAATTAAGTATGAATCTGATAACGGCGTTCATTTGTTCCGGCTCTACTAACAGCCCACACAGTTTATAGATTACGTAATCATGTACCCCGGAGCACTGTGCAAAAATGCCCGTTGGTGTTTTATAGTTCAAACAGCTTGAAAACGCTGTTTCACGGGACTTAGTGTCATACGATGGTCTGTTGAAAAAGTGCCTTAACATTGGTTCGAAAGTATTATAGTGTATGTAACTTGAATTATGTAATACATAATTTTTCATGTTGCTTACGCTCTAAGTTGTTTAAGTTCAAGCGCATTTTAACTTCAAACAGTTCTCCAACACGACGATAAGAAGATGTGCCTCACGACGGGGGCAATTTCGTGAATTATTATGAATATCTGCGAAATTATGATTGTTCAAACGTAATGACTTTAATGTTTGTAAACGAACGTAAATTTCTTCGTGAATTTCTAAACAAACTAGTGGGTCAGTTAGCATGATTTTTTTCTCCTTTTCAGAACTGGGCATTTCTTACAAGGTTTTGCTTTCTCTCAAAGCAAGGGCATTTCATCTACGAAATTGAGTACCCCACGGTAAGTGATCATACGAAATAAATAGCCATATTGAAAATCCCAGCTCGCCTGCACACTTGATTTAGTTTCTTGTCGTGAAATCTTTTTTATGTTAAATGGTTTGTGGCAAAACGTTTGCCAAGATGCTTCTCAAACACGGTCGTTACTAACGCGAAGTTTCTTGATAAAAATAACGCATTTCAGCGGAAGTGAAGTTGGAATTCGTGCAGCCGTACCGTCGTCACCAGACATTACATCATCCGTGCTTCCCAACTTAACACCTCCCGGATGACAAAGCCGTGGTGCTGAATTTCTTTGTGTCACTAAAGAGGGCCCGGGTTCGGCAAAGATTGGACACGTTGTCTATGGCTGTGTTTACATGAGTACTCTACGTTGAGCAAGTGTTTCTAAACGCCTCCTTAGCGCATCGGCGCACAAGGACAGGAACGCCAATCCGCCTCCAAAGCAACACAGATTTTTGGCGAAGCACTGGCCAATGACTGGTGAGGATCTTCTGACGTGGCCATTCATCCGCCAACGCTAGGCCGATGACTGATGACCAGTGGCTATTGGCCAGCGCCAGATAAAAACCAGTCACCGGCCAATGGCCACTCTTTGACCACTGAGACCATCGGCCACTTTCTGGCCACTGGTCAAAGGACCATTGCCAGCCATTGGCCCCAACGATTGTCCAAATCTGTGCTACTTGGTAGACAACGCGCAGGGAACGCGCGATGACGAGGCGGACACGCGTGCAATGTCACTGGTTGAAATCGGGGAAGGGGGGGGGGGGGCAAAAACACGTGGGCGCATTTGGAGGGTAAACAAACGCAGGAGGTGCTCAAAGAGCAGACCAACTTGTACGCCGTATTCGCCCCAAGATCCAGATTGAATTGAGGGGAAACGTGCTCTTAATGTTTACCCATCGATCTCTATAAGTCACGTGATGAGTACCTCTGTCCAGAATGCGGGAGGAGACAAAGTATCCATACCAGAGGCGTGTATAGAGAGAGTTTTTGTGAATGGGAGGCGCTGGTAGAGCCAGGGCGTGCACCAGATGCAGAAAGTGGGCTTGACATGCTATCTTGGTCAACCAGTAGCGTAAAAGAATCCCCTAGCGGAGGTAGGGAGAAACAGTTTTAATCATAAGTAAATGTTGGTATATGGTTTTAATAAGCGCATAAGAGTGAACTGTAGTAACCCTTCATGCTTGAAGATAGCGTGCACGTGATGTTTCGTCATGGTCATGCAGAAAGATGTAAGAAAGGAATGTGCCGCTCGAAGTCTGCTTTGCTCAGGTAGGGTGTGATCGCTCCGACTGCAGATTCCCGGCCCTCGGCGCTTGGAGTACAGATTATTTCGATCGTTTCGCTAGTCGCACCCTTCCACTGTGATATTTTGTATGACCATGATTGAAACATCACGTACACCCTATTTTCAGTCACCGAGAGTTACTCCGACGCACTCATTACGTTTGTTTCACGCGACCACCGCCAGGGTATTATTTCCGGATTCTGGTATGCCACATTCGAATTTGTGAAGACGCCCTGGAACACGCCAAGCCCGCTTTCGGCCAATGGCGCCTCCTCATCTGTCTCCTATACTTTCCAACGAATGGCCAAACTCTCTACATATACGGCTCTGATCCACACCAATGGCACAGAGCACGGGCAAGGGTATAGAACACGAGCTCTTTGCAGTTGATTCCAGTGCGCGAGCGCTGCATTGGCGCCTCCCGTATGTTCGACCTCACGTGCGTTGCACTCGTTTTGCTCCAGGTAAGTGTAGAACAAAGTATAGTTCTGCTTTTACCCACATGAGGCGTGCTGATAGAATCTCGAGGCGAATCAAGCAGGGACCAATGCCACGTATTCTGTCTCTCCACATTTACCCATCTTCTACCAATCAAAATAGTCAAATCTCGATTCGATGGCCTACGTGGCATCCCTGTAAACGGGTGTTCGGCTGAGCCCCGTGTTCTCGCTGATTGGACACGAGTTCCAGCCGAACGCTGACGCAGCACCCGTAGCCAATCCGCGTGCTCTACGTGGGCCTGGTTTAGTGACGCAGAAAATTCAGCACTACGGCTTTGTCGCCTAGTGCGTGTTTCCCCACATCGCTCTTTCTTTCACAAGCTGTTCGTCACAGGACGACACGTCAAGACTCACTTCGTGCACCGAATTGTGCCATACAGTACCTCGCGCTGTTTACAAACGAGCGATGTGTGGACGTACGTACCGTTCCCACACGCTGCCCGTGCTCAGAAACCCGCGGAAAGCATCTGCGCATGCGCCCTGCTCATAGCCGCGTGACGTCAGGGTCACGTGTGCGCCGAGAAACTAATAGAGATAAGAGGAGACGAGAGCGCGCGGGGACGCCACTCGGAGCCTAAGCTCGTAAAACACAAAGTTGGAGCAGCCAAAACTTCGCGGAGCGCGCCGATAGGACGCCGGCGACAAAAACGCAAAGTCATCGTCGCGATAGTCCAATCGGTGCGCTCCGTCAACTTCACCCCAATTTTGTGTTTGAGGAGTTTAGAGGGGGGATCGGGCACACCCAGCTCGACGCGCGTGAAGCGAAAGCTCGCGCTGCAGAACCCAGGGATCCTGGGTTCGAGCAATACCACCTAGAACACAAGGCCTGCGCGTTTCCTCCTCTAAACGTCATCACTAGTAGATCCCCTCAGCGCCCCCTAGCTAACCCGGATGAGCAACATCGTCTGCTACATCGTCTGCAACATCGTCTGCTCCATTGACTGCTTCAATGGTTTGTGTAGCAGGTAATGAAACAGATGCTCATGTCGAGTGTCTTTTGCTATAGCATACGATGAAGTTAGACGTTCACGTGGAGCGTCAAATGCATGAGTGAAAGTGCCTTACTGCTGTGCGAAGGGCCGCAAAGCCCTCCGCTGGGCGCTGGACGTTGGCACTGGACGCCATTTTTGAGGGCGCTGTTCATACTCCGTTCATTCCTAAGCAGAGAACGCAGCCAATGCCACAAGCACGAGAGCTCGAGGTGGCTGCTGTGAAGCGTTCTTCGGCAGAACGAGCGCACGCTCGAGAAATGCTCGTCCCAAAGCTAGGAGCGCGTGCTAGCCGGCGCTTCTAGCCGAGGGAGTGTTCGCATGCACGTTACAAATGAGCTGCAAGCTCGCTATCAGCTCGCGCTCAGCAGACGCGCACGCAGCTATGGCCGCAAGTGAATGCGACGTAGTTGGCCGTGTTCCAAAATTTACTCGATCTTACTCCAGGATAAAGTGTTTATACCTTGGCGTTCTAAAACCTACCCGCGTCCAGCGTTTTTCAATATCTGTCTTGTCACGTGACACGACCCGTCGGAGTAACTTGGATCCGTATGGGTAAGATTTGGAACGCAGCCGTAGTTCTGAAGCGGCCCATATATACTCTCGTCAAGCTTCGGGGTGTTTGCCGCTTGGGGCGGGTCGGGGATCTACTAACGAAACGTCATGCGCAGGCCTTGTCTTCTAGGTGGTATTGGTTCGAGCCCCACCCTGCCCGTTTCGATCTGGATGAGCATCGTACCGCCGTGCGGTCGTGTATCACTGCGTGGTGCACGTTAAAGACCCCAGGCTAGCGGTTGTACTGCACTGGCTAAATTGCTCATCTACAGCGTGTGACTCGTCGCAAATTTAATGGCTGACCAACTACACGCTATATAAATATCTCCATAACCCAATATGAGGAGTTTAGAGCAAATTCGCAACTTTCAGCGATGGTGGTACCGCCGTGTGAGAATCGCGCTCCTTAGCTCCTACAGATGATTGACTTCAAAATAAAGCTAGGCGCTTGTTTACAACCTCCTGACGCGAAAGTGTGACGTAAGGCTTTCATATCGCTCGTATTTGATAAAATAAAAATTACTTAAACGTCACAGATCCAACCTCGTTCAGCTGTTCTACGAGGAACATCCAGACGACAGCAGTTTTGATTGGAAGCGGCCCTGGCGGTCCCTACGCGGAGCGCAAGTTTGTCTGCTTCTTTTTCAGGAGTTGTGGTGACGTTGGAAGGCCGAACTCTGATTGGCTTTAATCAGAAGAATAGTGGGTAGACCTCAAAGCAAAATGCCTTGAAGTCTACCCGCTATCCTTCAGTCAGAGCCAATCAGAGCTCGGCGTTCTGACGTTACCGCAACCCCTGCAAAACAAGCAGACAAACTTGCGCTCCGCAGAGGCCGTTAAAAGTTCCCATTGATTAGTGGATAGACCTAAAGATAGCAGCCTTTGTGTCCACCGCACTCGTCGAACGCGCTCGAATGCGGAAGCCAGATGCCGGATGACGGTGTTCCGCGTTCTAACACGTTCGACGAGTGCAGTGGAGACAAAAGCAGCTAGCTTTAGGTCTGCCTTGGGGTCTACCCACTAATCATTGCAACCAGAGCTCGGTGTTCTGACGTCCATTCGCGCTCTCGACTTCTCCTATCCCTCAGTTCTGACGGAACCGACGCTACGAGCTGATAGGACCAATCAGAGAGCGTCAAAAGCGCACCATCATGGCGTTCATCATGTTTCTGTACGTGTTCTATCATCGCTGGACCAATCATAAACTGAAAAGACACAGCGACTTGCACGTTTGACGCTGCTTGATTGGTCCCATTACCTCGTTGCGTCGGCTTCCTCTGTAAAGCTAAAATGAAGTATAATCAATTACGTCGTAATGAAAACGAGAATATTGGCAAGCGCGACAGAAAATAAGAAAATGACGAGGTCTCTCTCTGAGTGACTCTGCGGTTTGAGTTAACAAATCGTGAATTAACAAAATGCATTGTATAGTGAAAACAAGCAAAAAGAGGGACAATAACAAATTGGTAACAAACATTACATGTTGCGACAAAATAAATAATAAAAAGAATCATTCTGAGTAAGCACGACGATTTCCTTCGCGTTGCGCCCAGATGCGCGCATATATCACGAAAGCATCTGCGTTCGAAACGTTTGGGCGATCGATCAAAGGAGCGCCTTGAATTTTTATTCGTATCATCAAGCGCCGTCTAAATGGGGTCGGTGCATTGTCTGTCATAAGTTATTAATATGAAAGTCTCATGGCTGAATCGAAATATTTAATCAAAATCCGGTATTTTTTTTTTCTCTCGATGGATTAACCAGAAAATGCGTTAAAGTATGGCTTTTTGTTTTTTTAAAGATTTTTGCTCGCAATTTTATGCGGAAATCAAGTCGTCTGCTTCTCGTGCAGGAGTTGCGGTGACGTCACGACGACACCGAGCTCTGATTGGATTTTGTGTAAAAGATAGTGGGTAGACCTCAATGCTAGATGCTTCGAGGTCTATACCCACTATATGTTTTCGATACGCCAATAAGAACTCGGCGTTCTGACATCGTCGCAAGTCCCGTGCAAGAAGCAGACGAACTTACGCTCCGCATTGCAGGTGTCAATAGACTTGCTTCAAGATGTAGTCACGAAGCTTCAGAATGGCAACTAGCTACAGGACTATGAAGAAGCTCTTTCCGAAACTTTGGCTGTCTCCTAAGTTTTCCCTTAAGGTTTCTTTTTTTTTTTTCAGTTAAGTTTCTCTCGCCAGTTCTTGCTTCTTCCAATAATGGCACGTGATAAGTCTCCAGTCCTGTCAAATGTATACTCTATGCATTGCCCTGCTGGGAAACAGAAAAATTTCACCTTCCATATAAAAAAATGAATTGTCATAGATACCAAATTGTGGAAATTATTTATTGTGACGGGAAATAAAATAATATCCTACTAACCTGCTAGCCCTGACGCCAGCCCTGGAACGCGTCCTCGACTGGTGGCTATGCTGCGACCTCTATACTGAACCCTCAATTTCCACCCGATGACGTCACAACTGGGGAGTGCTCGCCGCGATCCTGGCGGTAGTACAGCGGCGGAGTCGGACATGTGGTGACGCCTGCTTTGTTTTATCATTGGGCTAGGGCGTTTATATACTAGGAAAGTTCGGCGGCCCTTTCGGAAATGCCAACAGTGCAACCGCAACTGGGAGTCTGGCAACCGGGAAATAGTATGTTTTTTCCGCCATCTCGTGTTGCTGAAGCATAGCAAACCATATGACTTAACCGCTTCTCGATAAGATAACGCGTCATGATGTGTTATCCCAAAGTTGGCTTTTTCGGGCAGGCCACAGGCTTCACCTATTGGCCAAATTCTCCAAGCATAAACGGCTTTGGACTCTACGACCACAGCGACACCTGCATCCATGCTTGTTTTTAAGGCAACGGAACAACCCGTACAATAGCCAGAAACACGGAGGCACTCAGCGTAAAATTTGTGGGCGTCTAGTGTATCGTATATGTGTTTGCCCTATCTCGGCGAATAGTTAAAATTATTGTACATATCAAATTTATCACAAAATAATGCATAGCGAAGCAGCGCATATGACATCAAGTACATCAATATTTACAACGAACCGAAGGATTGGAATCAGACGTTTTTAAAAACAGGTTAGCGATCTAAATGGTTACTGAGAATGACCACAACCTATAGCTGCAAACCCTATAGCGGTCATGGTTCTTCCGTCGGGGTTTTCCACGATTACCATCAGTTGAGCACCGCGCCCGTTTAATAATTTGTACGCTCGGCATGTGCCCGAGCGACTCTCCGGGCAATATCGAGGAACCCACTCGTCGTATCGACCGTGTTTGGCCTCTTCAGTTTCCACGACGTGGCACCCTGCAGAATCGAACGTTCCTACTTGCCATCGATTGCTTCCAGTCTCAATGCAAAAACTGGAAATAAATTCAATTTTTTTTTTTATCAGAACGTACAGAAGATGACTCTCTGAGGGTCGTGCAAACAAGCGAGTTTACGCAGATGCTCGTTCTTTTTCTTTGACGTGGTGTAGTTTTCTGTGACCCATGAATGCAATTTGCATTGGAACACCGGAGGTTGCCGTGAACCGTGCAGGTCTCACTATACGGGTAGAAACTGATGGAGAGGAGGGAACGAGAGGGCTTTGGGACGTCAAAGCGTTGAGCCCTGGTTGGAATGATTTGTAGAGAAGGGTACGGACGACCCTCCCCTCCTTCTCCTCCTCCTCCTCCCCTCCTCGTCCTTTTCCTCCCTCCTCCATAACCTCTCCTCCTCCCACAGTTTCCGGCTAAATTTAGTTGGAAAATTGACGCCACGTGACCTCAACGCCAATTCGTTTCCCGCTAAATTTAGCGGGGAAAATGACGTCGCATGACTTTGTGTTACGTCACCTATGAACAAATTCAGTTTCTCCGCTACATTTAGCGGAAAAACTAACGTTACATGACCTCAGCCCCAATTCAGTTCCCCGCTAAATTTAGCGGGGAACTGACGGCGACGCCACGAAACACGGTAACGAGCGCCTGAGAACTGCGCTCTAAACTTGAAATTTTCTCACAGACAAAACTAATTGTATTTGCAATTAAATTAAACGCACGTTTCATTTTATTTTATTTTTTATTTTTTTCCCTGGATTTTAATAGGAAATGGCTCGCCATCAGTTTCAGCACTTCAAAACGTGAACTTTGTGTTCGTCCCCTTCTGGTGTTCCTGAGTCTCGGGTTTTATTACCACAAATACTTTTTTTTTTTCATTGAAAAAGTACACCGCTTTTTTAACTGCGTACATAAGTAATGTTCGGCATCTATCTTGAGAGTCTTTTTCGTGTCAGGTTATTTTTTGACACCCGCCGTGTTCCAAAATTTACTCGATCTTACTCCAGGGTAAGTGTTTTGTACCCTTGGCGTTCCGAAACCTACCCGCGTCCAGCCTTTTTCAATCTGTGCTGTCACGTGATACGATCCGCTGGAGTAACTCGGATCCATTTGGGTAAGATTTGGAACACGGCCTGAGCTTCCAAACGTTTTTGTTCGATGTAACCCAGTATATTTGTGAACAAAGTTGGTTCATTTCAGGTGCAACCCGGCCTCTCTTTAGCGGACATCTTTTTTTAAAGAAAGCGTTCAGGTTTCCACTTAATTCTCAGAGAGCAATTCATAATAGTTGTTGACCAACCTTCTCCGAAGTTCAGAATATATTTCTGTTTTCAGGATTACCAAATCCAGAACTTGCTTCTTTATTACGATGAAAAGCATCAATGGCCAGCGGTGTACAAGAAGCCAAAGGTGCGTACGCCTAGAGCCAATTTTTTTCTTTGGTGTAGCGAGCTTTGAACGGTTAATTACCGGAGAAAGTTTCATTATGTCTTTTTTAAATAGTAATGTTCTTTATATAATCTTATAATAAAGCCTCCAAGTGCCTACCTTCACAATGCTCATTATTATTTTTTTTTTTTTTGCCTAAGCGCGCTGGATTATATAAAACAAATATACCCAAAATTATGCAACGTTAATCTTCAAGCTCAAATTAACTAATTGTGACGCCGTGGACATTTTCTAACCTTTTGTAATATGCTACAGGGTGTGACCAAATTAGCGCGAACAATCAAAAAGGGCTTTTTTCCCCTCCTAATCAAGAGATTCTTATTAAAACCAGTGAGGTGGGATGTGATCATGGGGGGCACAACATCCGAGCATTAAAAGTTTGTCCCGCCAATAGCCCCTCGGAGTGAAATACGAGAACCTCCTAAGCCTTGTTCGCGTTAGTAGCATCGCGCATTGTAATACATTGTAGGTTTTTTTCTTAAGCGTAGAACACAAATTTGGGCTCGCGTTACAAAATCCGGTGACAGGGGAAAGTGTAACGACACACGTACGTTCACCTTTTTACCTTTGCCCCCAAGTTACCTCGGCCTTCAACTCTACGGTAGACAATATTAAAACAAAGCTTCATAAATCTGCGCCCGGTGCCCACACGGCATGAGCGTCATGCTCCCTCAAACCAAGAACGTATTCTATCATGTATTACCACACTATAAAACGTCCGTGAGTTCACTTTCCTGCAGAACATGAAGACAGCCGATCACGGCGAACAGAAAAGACAGCCGATCACGGAGCCCAGCAAAATGAAGAAGCTCAAAATATGATTAGAATACAAAATTCCATCATTCAGCATTGTCATTCGCTGGGATAACCTCATGTGTTTCGCAATGATTGGCTGTCTCCATGTGTTTTGAAGAAAAGTGAACTTATACGGGCTTTTTGTTTAGAACGTATAAAACGACGCTAAAGCTTTTTTCTTTTTGAATGCGATAGCGTTAAAGGTGCTCGTGTTGCAGAAAATTGGTGGCGTGACAGAAATGCCAGCTTCGGTGGAGTGCCGCGAAAATCCTGATTGGTCGATAGGGTCATGACGGCACAGCAACATGACCTCGCGCGGAAATTTCATACAGCCCACAATGCTCACGGGAAACGTGACGACACGTGTGGAATGAAAGTGATTAAAAAACATGGCGTATAATGCGAATCAAAGGTCGCCGTATGCCTTAAATGATTTCACTCTAGAAAGTAATTCAATTTTCCTCTAAACAATTTTAAAAAATTTAGGCGAAATTCGATTTTGCGATTTAACTGGGCCACGCAGGGCACGCTTGCACGGTTTGAGGACGAGCGGGAGTTTATAAATTTATATATTTTGCTATCGCGTTCCAATCTTAAAAAAGTAGCTTAAGCGTCCTTCAAGATTTTTTGTTAAGTGTGATACGTTTGAACTATTAAAATTTAAAGTTTAACCCGTGGTTGAAACTCCTGGTTCCAGACGTGCCACCAGAAAGAGCTGGTGCTCAACGCGGGCCACGGTCAGATTTTGAACTTGACCAACTGGTACTACCCTGCCGAGTGCAGCCTGGAAACTGAGGAACGTAAGTCCGTCTTCCGGTGCGCAGCTCAGCGGCGCTTCAAATCCGCCAGGGAACGCTGGTGGTTTATAGCCATCAGCAACTGTAACTCCAGCAAGGTAAGTATAGTCACGGGGGTTTCCGATTTTCCGCCTCTATTTCTGACATAATTGCACCGAATAAATCTGAGTTCGTTTCCTTTACATAATCGGCCCTCTCCAGAAGTCCGTCAAGCAACATTGGCGGTCGCCATTGCTTAGACACGAAGCGCGTGATTGGATCCAAGTCCTCGCCGAACGCTGACCTCCGCGCTCGCGTCCAATACGAGCTCGGAGTATGTGAGCAAGCAATGGCGGACAGGCGCCTGCGCGGACTTTTGAAAAGGGTCCATTTCGATATTTCCACGTGCTTATTCTGGATGGACCTGACGGAAAGTCATAAGATCTGCAAACACGCATAGGGACTGTTAGTAGAACGTTTGTGCGTTTCGATACCGATGTCCTAAAGCGATCTTCTAACGGCGCCTTTGCGCATGCATTCTATCATTGGAGAGTTTTAGGGAACCGTATTTGCACGTCCGATACGATGCGATGGGCCTTCCGGTACGCACTGCGCATATGCGAGTCTCCCTAAAACTATAGCGCCTGGATCGCGTCTTCGACTGGTGTGTTTAGCGTCCTATCCCGCCCATACATCAAAAGTGGTCCCCAAGTGGCAACAAATGACGTCACAGAAGCCGGAGTGTCATGCTGTTGCCTGTCGCGATCCTGGCGGTCGGCCGTAGAAATGCTGGCGAAAAGCACGAGTGAACGCGAGTGTCGCTGTCGTCACAGCGTCCCAGGCGTCCCAACTTCCGGCTGCTGTAGCTTCCATGGTCTGTCACAGTGGAGAGCGACCTGCAGCAGAACAGGCGTCTGCCATATACACCACAACTGTTAGGACGCCGCCAGGATCGCAACCGGCGACAACATGACACTTCTATGACGTCATCAGGCGGAAATCGAGGAACCACTTTTTTGGCCGCGGTAAACACACCAGTCGGAGACGCGTTCCAGGCACCATACTAAAACTCTCTCTAATCGGGTATGGTTGTTGAAGCGCAGAAACGATATACCAGAATTTGTATTGACGTAAATGAGCGAGCAGCATGGTGCGCCAGTACGAGAGGAATTGCAGCGGTATGTACACATGAAAAAAAAAATGTTTGTTGTTGTTTGACCCGTTTTAATTGTCGTCAAAAAGTCTACATTCTTAATTTCCTTAGGTGTATGGTAGGACTTACCAGTATATCAGGAACAAAACTATCATAAACGCCGGACGAGCAATTCAATGTTCGCGCTAACGAATGCGACGTCACATATCCAGTGAATTTCAAACAGTTTCAGAGTGAAGTTGATCTGCCTTTAAATAACGTCTCGTATCCTCTATAGGGGAAAATTTCTTGACATGGCAAGAAATGTTCCCCTATCGAGGAAGTTGTTGGCGAAGCATTTACCGAGCGTACGCACGCCGGTACCGTACGTCACCCGTTCAAACTAAGAAAATAAAACAAAATCTTGTTTTGTGTCAAGAAAAAACAACACTATATGTTATGAACTTGACCCCCGTTCTATCAGGCATTTGTGGAGCATGCTTGTCGATTCTCGGCGATAAGTTTATCTCGCCATTACTATTTTGTTCCAATGTATAAACTGTTGTACTTTGTTTCACATTAGAGAGTTTTAGGGAACCGTTTTTGAACGTCCGATACGATACGATGGACCCTCCAGTACGCACTGCGCATGCGCTGCCACAAAAGACTCGCACATGCGCAGTTCGTACCGGAGTGCCAATTGCACCGTATCAGACGTGCTAAAACGGTTCCCTAAAACTCTCTACCAAGTCGGACCGCAGCCAAAGAAACGTGTATGCGATATCTGATGGAGCCATTAAAGCAGTGCCAAAAGTGCCTCGTCATGGCACTTGTCGACTTTGGGCGTTTTCAATCACCGGTTTAAAAACCAATCACGCACAGTGAATGCGGCGTGATTCTGCACTTTTTTTTTTTGGTTGAGGGGGGAGAGGCGTAATTGGTTTATCTGGTGAAAACAACTGCACAAAGATGACATGCGCCGTGAGGACGCACCTATGACGCTGCTAAAAATTACCTTCGTTTAATCGCGGCGTCGACTGTGCTCAGTGTAATTTGTTGTTTATGCGGAGCGCGAGTTCGTCTGCTTCCTTTGTAGGGGTTTCGGCGACGTCAGAACGCCTAACTCTGATTGGCTCTGATTGAAGTATAGTGGGTAGACCTCAAGGCAGCCTGCTTTGAGGTCTACCCACTATACTTCAATCAGAGCCGATCAGAGGTCGTCGTCGTTCTGACGTCACCACAACCCCCTGCAAAAGAAGCAGACGAACTTGCACTCCGCATAGTACCGAGTCGACGGAAGAACTTGTCGTGTTAGAAAACTCCGGGGAAGACGACAAGTGAATTGTATTTCGACGCTCTGAAATACTCGAGTAAACAAATCTGTGATATGTCACGCTTTTTTTCATTTTTCTTGCAGGGGCTTTATTTGAAATACAAGCTCGGTATGTTCAACCACGAGAAAGACTTTTGGTACAGACAATTTTCTGCGGATGAATTTTGTACGTCTGAACGTTTCTCCGTCGTACAATTTGATTTTTCTAAGTATAGAAGAGCATCGTACTGGCATGGAGTTCTAGGCATATACAAATAATTTGTGGGTGAAAGTGATATCTCATGGAGTAGACAATTTTTTCCGGGTACACAATCGTCTAATTTTTTCGTTTTTTTTTGTCACATTACTGAAAATGTGTCTTTCAAGTCGATCAAATGTTACAGAATGTGATCATGTGCAATGCCGACGTGAGCTGCAAAGTTCTGTGTTTCATGCCAACGTAATAAACCGTTTGCTAGATTACCGACACAACGAAGAGAATGCTGGGAACATATCTACACGCGGCATGCGCTTGAATCGTTTATAAAATATTTTGAGCAATTATATTATATTGAGCAATTATATTAAAGACGAGCGTGCCATTTGTCTGAGGCATTTGTCTTCGAACAGTTACTGCCCCAGACGCAGTTCGTGCAGCGCGTGTACACAGTACTCAGCGAAGACACACACATCATGCTTCTTGGTGCTTAAACAATTTAGCGAAAGGTCTGCATGCGTCCAAACACATCACTCGGGAAAACTGTCGTTCGATGTTCATATATGGTTGCAGAGGGTGCGTTAAAAATTTTCTTTGTGTAAGCGCTTTTGAAATGGTAGGGAGAAAGAAAGAGAGAGAGAGAGAGAGAGAGATAACGCTATATCACATTCTGGCAATAAATGAACTTGAAAAGACATCCTAATATCAGAATGTGGTAGGCCACCAAAAAAGGTTTCGGTGTTATGTGAAGTGTCAAACTAAGGCCTCGAGCTAGGCAGATATTTAACAAATATAATGGTCATAATGTTAAAAAACAACACAGAATGACTATTGGTGACTCCAGCGACCTGCAGGGGTCGCCACTTTCGGGAAAATATGGCGGTCTTAATTAGGTCGTGCAACACCTCTTAGATAAGAAAGCCCAAGTGCTGAAACTTCCTGCGTCACTAAAGAAGGCCACTCTAGGACAGAGATTGATTACGGCGTCAGTTTTCGGCTAGGAGTCGTGTTCTCACTCATTGGACACGACTCCTAGCCGAATGCTGACGCCGTAGTCGTGTCCAATCTCTGCCCTACGGTGGCCTGCTTTAGTGACGCAAGGGAATTCAGCACTCAGGCCTTTTTATCTAGGAGGTGTACGGTCGTGCCGGTGCCATACGCTTCTCAACGCACAACGCACGAGTTCATAGCCTCCTATACACTGACAAAGCCTGGCAGATCGCCACGGAAGGCGGTCGCCGAAATGGAAAAGGTGGAGCGGCAAATAACGGATGAGAGGAGAGCCACGTGACTGGCGCCCCGCTGCGGCGAGACGCCGAAACACAGTTCTCCCGAGCGAACAAATGTGTTTTGGGTCCTTGCCGCTGCAAAAGCTGTGCGCTGACGTCTAGGTTCCCCGAGAAATGGCTCTTTGATGCTCTGTGCTACCAGGTCGTCGCGCTTCAAATCTGCTACCGGGTACTCTATGGCTCCGTCGTCAAACTGCCAGGCTTTGGGAGTATAGAGGAGGTTAGGACGAGTTTCAGAAAGGAAGCATTGGACTCAAAATTGTTTTCCCCGATTTTTATTCACTACGTTTCAAACCTGCGGCGATGTGTTGGAGTAAGCGAGCTTCAAGAGGCTTGACCTTCTTTGGGGAAGCGATGGAAGGACTGCGGGTCTGATGAACGTTGATAAGCGCACAATGTCTGAGTTACGCGGTAGCGTATATATCAGTTGCGTTCGCTGCGACCTGGATAACACGCTTATGCAACAGTACCAACGGAGTCACCAGTACAACTATTCCATCAAGCCATCCGCCGACAATATGTACTCGCGGAAGCCAAAAGGCACGAGCAGAAATCGCGAAAGGAACTGTTTCGTTCAGTTCAGTGTTTTTCAATTAGGTGCCATCCGTTTTGCTGGAGTCGCGAATACTGATGCAGATCAACGTAGCCTCGTTCATATTTTCGTTTCTTCTTCTTCTTCTAGATATTCTTCAAACAGACATCGCAGCTCTGGTATTGTACGTAATAGTCTTCATGGCGAGCTGCTACGGGGCATGTAAGTGCAGCGAATTCTCCCTTTCCCATTTAAGGTAGTTTAGAACTAGAGCAACACGGCTAGGAACTTAACGATCATTGAAGGTTATATAATCCGCCTTAATGGGCTACATAACTTTTAGGAAACTTTATTTTACGCTTGTACTTGCTGTTACGAATAATAATAATAAAAAAAATAAAAACTTGCTCAACACTCGTAGGTGTCGTCTACAACACAACTGCTTCAATGGCCACCCAATGTATGTCAGAATTGCTATACTTTTTAATTGAATAAACTTAGTTATTTAATTGCAAGTCATGCGCTCCCGGAATCCATCACACCACAATGAAGATAGAGGTAGAACGAAGCACACCCTCAAAAAGACGCAGCCTTTTTCTTGATTATAACTACCGGAGCTTGACAGCTGTCGCTTTCCTTTTCGACTGAAATTATCACAAGTAGGTACATTATTGACATTCCAAGTTGATCGCAGGAGAGTATATATATATACACACAACAGGCAACTCTGAGGGTGCGCAGCCGTGCGAACATTGGATGCCGTCACCTCATTATAACTCTGCACAGACTTTAATTTAGCATTGTGCATTAGACAGAACGGCTTGCAGACATGCCGCCTTGACAACAGTGTCAGCCTTGACACCAGTGTCAGCCTTGACACCAGTGTCAGCCTTGATACCAGTGTCAGCCTTGACACCAGTGGCCAGTCTTGACACCAGTGTCAGCCTTGACACCAGTGTCAGCCTTGACACCAGTGTCAGCCTTGACACCAATATCAATATAAAATATGTCGATTAATCAATGTGTGGTATATCCACTTTCTTGCTTTTCAGGCGTGCTGTTTTCGCGCAACTACCTGCACACCACGTACAAGATGTTCATCGTGTCTGTTCTCTGCCAGATGCAAAGCCTCCTGTGCCTCGTCGTTTTTTACGCCTTGTACGCCGACGACGGAGTTGGAATTCCCCTCTTGAAGCTAATGGGTATGTCGGCAGCCATTTAAAACCCCGAAAAAGAACTGAGCGTGTTGCGACCTTTAATATTTGCTCCACTGCTGCATTGGCGGATTTAAGGATCTGCTTAAAATGTTATTTAAGGGAGTTCGCGTGTCTACTTATTTAGAAGACACACGGAAGGCCAACCATTGCTGGTTAGTTTCATTTAAAATACAACACGCGTGTCGGGGTGGCTATTTTGATTCGCATAAAAATATGTATACCAAAATATACTCCCATTCCGCAATGAAAAAAAAAATCTTCTTGAAATTTGTTTTAGAAAAGCTGTTTTTCTCCACAAAACGCCTTGAAGTGGAGCAAAGTGAAACGCTACGTTTAGGCTGCTTGGTGTTTGCACTCAATTCTGTCGGTTGTTATAAAGAGGTTAAAAGGATCGTAGTAAAAATATTCTTGTTAATTTATGACGAATGGCCTATTTTTAGTTCTAAACTAAACTGCTTTGGCATATTTTATGCCAAAAATAGGAAATGCCAGACCGGATCTTTGACGTTTTGGTGACATGTTTTGAGCCTTGTAGGATTCATTATACATTTTGCTTATCAAATACTATATTCCTGTAGGCCTATAGATATCCTATCGACTGTCACTACTTGAGTTTAATTTATTCTGACAAAATAATTTATATATATATATATTTATTTTTTTCATTTAATCAAAAAGTAAATTTAGCCTGACATGGTAACCCAAAAAACAGTAGAAAAGCGAAAAAAAAAAACCCGGTAAACATGGGAAAACAAAGCACCAAATATTTGTCCGTCCTGTTTTTCCCCGTTCCTGGGGTAACCACGTCAGTGTTGAATAGCTCGCCTGCACGCATGCTTTAGTTTAAATTTAGCCATGATTTGAGCCCACTTTATTAAAGAAAGCAAATTTTTTAAAAATTTATTAAATTTATTTCTTACTTTTTTTATTGTTCCCAATGACGTTAACATCCTGTGTGTATCAAAGTTCCACCTTTTTTCATTTTGTATTTTTTGTAGAAGCGCTGAAACACAAATACGTGCACACGAATCGGCTAAAGGTTGGCTTGACGGCAAGGTTTTTTAGGCTTGAAATGATAAAGGCCAAGGGGGGGGAGGGATCGGACGTGTGTGGCTGGGGAAGCCTCGACGAACTGAGTGAGCTAAGGTTTGTATTTATTTTTTATGGAGATTCACCTGCCTTGGCCGAGTTATCCTGAGTAGGTGAGGTCGTGTCCTAAGTAATCCACCAGCAAAGCGAGGAGGGCTTTCCTGTGTTCTGATGAGCCTGCCTTTGGGCCGGGGCCACTCGGCTAGCGTCCTCGGTGTGTCATTTTTGTTGAAAATGCTGGTGGAGAGGGAGGAGGAGAGAGGGTTATGTAGACATACTCCCCTTAGGAAAAAGGTGTCTGCCCCTACCCTTGCGCTGTTGTGGCGTCACTGGCAACGCATGTTTTTTTTTTTTTTTTTTTTTACATTATTATTATTTAGGTTACGACACTTTAGTCCGGCTGCACATTGTTGTTTAGGTCAGTTTAGCATATGTAATATTTTTTATCCCTCAGCTTGTCTGTGTCTTCGGTTTGCCATGTTCTTTTCCTCTCAGAGAGTACACCGACTAAATCCTGATAGTGGTTAAAACCAGATGATATCTACAAATGGTAGACCTGGTGTCGTCGTTAAAATTTCAGGCCCCCCAGCTGCCCCAGCTTTTTAAGCTTTAACGTAGTTGTATGAAGTTTTAATAATGAATGACGTTCGCAAATTTGGTTGAGTCTACATACAATGGCCGACATAAAAGTAAGTCATAAAGTACGTTTTCCCCTTATGAAATCTCTCAACATGGAGCTGCTGAGCTAAGCTTTTTATAAGGTTCTTGAAGATCAGTTCTTGCTTTGCCATTTCGTCTTCGAGCGAATAGAAAAAAAAAAAAGGAAACGAATTTGGAGCAGAACACGTACTCTTTGCTTTAAGTTTATCTTAATTAGTTTAGATGGAGTAATTCAAATGTTGTAATCTCCGTTCTGGCTTTCGGAAACATCAAGAAGGACTCAAAATGAACCGCATCATGTATATTTTAATTGCGACTTTCTTGTCATCCCTAATTACGTTCATGGTATGTTTTATGTGTGGAATTTAAATAAAACAATGAAGTTCGTTCTTGTGCAGTACTCAGTGGCCAAGTCTAATAAAGAGACGCTAAACTATACCCGTACGGTAAAAATGTCACAATTTTTACGCACCAAAGTGAGTCTGTAGTTTTGTTCATGTTCACAGCCGGTATTTTGATGCTTAGAAAATTAAGCTGGAATTTCCGTAACGCTTGAAGAAATCTAAATGCGACTTCTACTTTATCTTACTTTCTTTTCAGCTCTGACTGTTGAACGCTTCTGTTATTCGCTGACAGGAATCTCGGTGGAGTCGTGTTTAGTCCGGCGCCAGGAATTCCTTCTTTAAACGTTCCTGATCATTTCATGCTTGGAAGCTACGCTTGGACAGAAACTTGAACTCTATTTACTCGCACAGCACGCAGAGTTTTCAGCCAAGCGTACGAAGCAATTCTGGCCAAAGCACGTTAGTATACCTCATTGCAGAATAGATATGAGGCGCCATGGCTGATCTCAGCAGACCTACGCCGAGGTGCTTTTCACAGAGAGAAAACGATGATATCTTCTTTTTGTATCGACCATTCTAAGGAGACATAATCAGATCTATGAAACACAACCATTGATAAAACCAGACATAAGCAATTTGTAATGTAAAAAGCTCGAGCAGGCGACTGGAATGATAGCGGCAGCACAAAGAGTGCCGATTGCAGTTCTCGTGTTATGGTTTTGACAGCAGAAAAAATACAGACGAGATGAGAGAAAAATAAATATGAAATATACTATAGTCGGTTACCAGTCAAGAAGGTAGGAGAAGCCCCTCCCACAAGTGTGATGCGCCCGTTTCAAATCCCTCCGCAGTCGAAAGAAGAGTTCACTGGAAACACTCCTTGTTCCGTTTCAATGGTTAGATAATGGCCACAGAGTGGTGCGAACTTGTCTTCGACCCCCACTTTTTAAAAAAGCGGCCTTCGTATTCATTGGAGGGGGAACCGGACCCCTGAAAGCAGCCTTTGTATTCATCGGAGGGGAAGCTAATCCCTGAAAGTCGTATTTGTTTCTATCGGAGGGGGGAAACTCTAATCTCCTTCTCGTGGCTTCCACAATGCTAAGTCAAAGTCAAAAGATAAAGCAAATATGTATAGAAAGGCAAGACCCTCCTCGCGCGTTGGCCGCGACGTCACGGAAACGATGAGACGCTATTGGATGCGGAGGTGGCGGAGGGATATATGATTCCCTTTGAGGGGCATTGGCCGCTACCTTCTTAACCTGTAACTTACTATAACTGAGATAAACAAAAATATACAGCCCGAATAAAGCGTCCTAACCAAATAATACCCCCCCCCCCCCTAGAATACAAAACTAAAAAACATGCGTAGTGGGAGGCGTTGGAACAGCGGAGGGGTAGGGGCACGCATTTTGTTCTAACGGGGGCAAGTTCGCACAACACTCTCCTATCCCCCTCTCCACCGTCACGTTCCGTCACCCCTTCACGCCCCAAACACTTCCGAGCACCTTGCCGTTAGCAAAAGGGTATGAACCTGGGCCAGTTGGTGGGATATTGAAGATAATTAAAAGCACAAGACACGAAGGACTAGTAGAAGGACGTTACTCACAGATTATTTAATGGCCCTTCGATGTTTCATGGTCTAGGTCAGCGTTGCGCAAACTTTGCAGGCTCGCGACTCCCTAAGACGCCAAAACACTGTCCGGTAACGCCCCCCCCCCCCCCCCCCCCCCCCCCTTAGCAGTAACAAAGCTGCTCGGCTTTCTTAGCCCCCCGCGACCCCCAGAAGTCGCCTCGCGATTCCCACTTTGCGCACCTCTGGTTCAGGTCTGGATTAAAGAATAGAGAGATGTTGAGCCTGCCGCCTCGCCAAAGAACCAGGGTGTCGAAGGTTCGCTTCTATTTCTGACAAACGCCGTGAGATGGCACAGCGTGACAGAAGCTCGAGAAACCGTCCTTATTGGCGCACGCGTTTTCAATGTCCCGAAGTGCGCGGAGCCCCAACTTGACAGTGCCCCTGCCGGGAGATGAGCGAAGCTCCACTGGAATTTCGGCGCCCTTTTTGTACTTGTTCCGTGGACTTCCATCGTAGTCTCGGTATTCGCAACGTATTCTGAAGCTCTTATCCCGCTGTCCCCGCAGGATCAGTGCTCTCTTCGGTCAGCACCCTGATATTCCTCCTGCTACTAATCTTGGTCGCAAAGGGTTATACAGTCACCAGAGGAAGGCTCAAATCAGGAACCTCGGCAAAGATAGGAACCTTCATGACAATCTATGTCGTCGTCTACTCAGCGCTCTTCACTTACGAGCAGCAGGTGGGTAGACACATGCTGATGAAAGTAGGTGTTTCGACTCTTCGCACCAATTCACTTCGTTTCATAACGTTTTTGGTTGGGTTGGAAACATCTCAACTGGGAAAGCCTCAGTAGCTCGTGCCAAGCAAAAAGAAGCACTTGTACTACGAGGCAGGAAACAAACGTCAGTCAATTCTAACCACTCCACAGCGGGTGGTGCCACACTACGGTCGAGTTCAAATCGGGGTTCACCTAAATCATTGGGGAACTCTCTCGGTGGACTTGTTGGAGCGATCCAAAAGATCTCTTTGCTCGCGCCTTTAGAGCGGTAAATGGTAGCAGGCACGTGCCATTCGCAAGAATCGATACAAACAAGATAAGTGATCCCAGTCCGCTCCCAATCCACTGAGGGAATATTCCCCAATATGTTAAAGTTTCCATCGCCATATCAAAATCAATACTGTTTGTCACTTTTAAATAGGGCAACTGATCTGACCATAAACTTTCCATGGAAGTTGACGCCGTTCCTAATACGACCTGCTCATTTTAAATGGTGCCTTAAGAACAAAAGCATGATGAAATTTCACTCAAATTAACAATCGTATTCGCCCGTTATTCCCTACGCACTATCGAGCTCCTGAACTATACCCTGTTTCTCATCAAGTCCGACTGCACCTGACTTCTAGGATCCGATATGGAGCCACTCAAGCAGCCCCAAAAGCGGATCGTCATGGCACTCGTCGCCTTTGTATGTTTCCTGTTGTATACCGGCTATGGGATCGGATCAGATCGGATTGGATTGGCTGCGGTGGGACCTAAGCTGCGGTCACACTGCTAACACATCACACAGTTTGCAAACACTGTCCGAGGCGTGTTGTTTTTTTCCTCGTATAACGGCACTCTGTTCGTTGGTCACGGAAAAACTGTCCGCAGACAAGTGCGAAGCATACGTATGTAAAAAGTAAACATGCTTAAAACGGGCTCCAAGCGCAAATCATGCTATACAACTGTCAATAGCAAACGGAATGCTTTCTCTTTTTTTTTTTTTCGTACGAAAGACGAGCAGGGTAACTGCGGCTTTAGGATGAAACGCAGTATCCACTGGCGCCGAGAGCCAACTTTGCGGAGAGTAAGTGGTCTGCTTGTTGCGCGCAGGGGTTGCGGCGACGTCATAACGACGCCGAGTTCCGATTGGCGTTGATTGGAAGGATAGTGGGTGCATCTCAATGCTAGGCGCCTTGAGGTCTACACACTATTTTTCCCAATCAGCCAGTGAGTGCTCGGCGTTCGGACATCATCGCAACTCCTGTACAAGAAGCAGACGAACTTAGGCTCCTCATTGGAACCGATGGAAGGGCGAAAACCGCTGCTGCGCGCTCTATGGAGTGGCGCATAACCCATCTTTTTCTTGAAGCGTTAACTGTGTCGCGCAACTTGGTGTATCTATTTTTTTACGCTCTGTGACTTTGAAGTACGTTGCAAAACTCACTGTGAATCGTCTGGCCATTCCCGCGTAAATCACATGGATAAGCAAACACGTTGACACATACCGTTTTCTTCGTAACTAAAAAGGACCTGGAGCATAGCGAATTGAAATAAAATTCACTCGAAGACTCGCGTATTTTTATAATCAAAATTTGTAATTTTTGTATATTTTAAGGTATTATACTGGCTTAGGCATCCATATATCGATCGACACGTGTGTTTACTTGGTGGATACAAAACTTGTGTGGTCAAAGATAATTTGAGTGTGCGCTCGAAGCGGCGTTGTATGTCTATTTTTTTCCCGAAGAACGTCCTTACTGTTTACAACAAACAAGCGTCTCTTTGTTTGCTCGTCTACCACTGCAGTACTTCGATCCGGGCGAAGTGCTCTACCTGTACGAGAGCCCCGCGGGTTACGGCATCGTGGCGCTGCGACTCGTCGGCTGGGGATGGTTCGTCTACGCCACCGTCTTCACGCTGCTCCACTATCCGGAGAAAACTGCATTTTACACCCGGCTTTTTTTGCTGTACACTATCTGGTGAGGCCCTCTTTTAAAATACGCCGATAAAAAAAGTATGCGAGACATCCCTACAGAACGCTGAGAGAGCCAATCACGGCGAGCTATACCGGATCCCACCGTATCACGAAACTCAAAATACACAAAAAGTCTACAAGAAAAAAAAAAAAAATTCCGAGGACACCTCAGCACTTCATATGAGTTGTGAATGCGAAAGCATGCATGCGGTTCTTCCGCTCCCTCCGTCTCCGGCGTATCTGGTGTGGACGGCCACGTTTCGCTACTGCCGAGGTAGTGGCCGACGGCCGAGCGAGCGCCCTCCTGAAGTGGCCGCGCCGCGCTGAGCTCGGCCGTGCATCCTTTCCGGAGTTTGCCCGTGCGGGCGTGTGGGCGCAACGTTGGCGCAACGCATGAGGCGGCCGGGCCGTTGCGTGCGCTGCGCCGCCATGGAGAGGGGTTCTCTGGTGGCGTTCTTTGGAACTACGCCGCGCGAGAGCCAATGCCAGCCTCGTTCGTTGAAACTATGACGCGCGCCAGCCAATGGGAGCTTATCCATCAGATTTCTGCTACAGACGATAGGCTTTCGCTCCATTGGGACAGGGAAAGGTGCTGTCTGGTGCGACTTCAAAAGCTGAGGACGTTGGTTCGCTCCATGGCACAGTTAATATTTTCGCATTAAAAAACGGTTTGCCCAGGGACATTGAGCAAGGGAAACGTCATGCTCATTGCTCTTGCGCACATAAAATTTGTTCAGTATAATCGTATTCTGAGCCTCGTCATTCTCTGGGACACTTCTATTATTCGCCGTGATTGGCCGTCTTTTTGATATACAGAAAAGTGAGCCATAGTTGTGTTTTACGTGAAACGTTTATAGGCTACGTTTTTAAATTAAGTAAAGCCTTAAAAGTAAAAAAAAAGTACTTGTACTTCACTTTGAAAGTACATTGTCTTTATAGTACTGTCTTCAAGTACACTGTACCCGGTGTATTTACTACATTTCTTGATGTACATAACTTCTCATTTACTTTGTACTTTACTGCAGTTACTTTTTAGATGTACTTTACCCAACACTGATGTGAATGGGTCTTTATTACCATTCCATAAGAAGCACATTGGCACGGCAATCAGTCCAGTGATTAGCTTAATAGACGTTGTTACCCAAGGTCCTCAAGCGCTTCTGAATGAATTTATGCGCGCCAGCCGAGTAACGCGCCGAGAGTGAGAATTCTCCTAAAGACATGTAACTGCAGAAAAAAATAGAGAGCTTTAGTATTGTGTATAGGAGCAAACGCAAGTGCTGTGCGTTTGCGTTAGAGTCACATGCTCCACACTAAGCCTGCGCGTCGTCGCCATGCGCCAATCAAAAAGCGCAGTTTGGGCTCCCCGCACGCGCGCAGTGCGGAACACACAACGCTAACGCAAGCGCACAGTGCTCACGCTTGCTCAAATACGCAATGCTAATACTTACTATTACAGTGAGACATACAATGTGTGGATTCTTGCGTAGCAGTCTCGTCCCGTCTTTTCCGGACTCTGTGCGTTACAGGGCAAGTTACTTTTAAATAGTCAATTTTAGAGCGTAGCTCTTAGGCGCCCGTTTCCGCGTTGAGCGGTGTTTCCGTCGGAGTCGGCGTAACCGTGCATTGCATGATGGGACGTTTCTCTGCTAAATTTAGAGGGGAAATTTTGCCGATAAATTTAGCGAGTAAGTTTTTTCAATTAATATAGCGGGTAAATTTTTTCTATTTTCCGCTAAATTTAGCGGAAAATGTTTCCGCAAAATTCAGCGAGGAAATTTTTCCGCTAGCGAGAAAATATTTTCGCTGAATTTAGCGGAGAAATTTTTCCGGTAAATTTAGCGGGAACTTTTCCCGCTAAGTTTAGCGGAAATATTTCCCCTCTGACTTTAGCGGGAGATTTAGCGAAAATTTCCCGCTAAATGGGAGGGCAGCAGGTGAGGAGGAGGGGAGGGTACCGAGCGGGAGAAGGGGCATACCCTCCCCTCGTCTTCCTCAAGAGCTGCGCTCTAATTCGGCATTACAGAGAACTGTAACCGTCTTTCATTTTTTCTCATAATTTACAACAACCTGTCATTTCCAATTGAAATAAATAAATAAAAAGACTACAAGGCTCTTCTTTGTTGATACCTTCATGTTATTTCGATAATTTCATCTGCCAATTAAAACCTCCTGGCACACTTTTCATAAAGGACGTCCAGCGATGTTTCATTTACGCGGTTGCGTTTCGTCAACAAGTCAGGATCGCACCGCCGCCCATGTGCGACGGTCCCGACAGCGATGTTTATCGTGTAGAAAACTCAGCAAAATCACTCGTGAGAGTTGGTTCACAGCTTCTCGAAATCGCGTGTAGTATATAGTGCATCGCTAAGCGCAATACCGGGCGTTCCGGTGAACTTCCTTTGCGCAGCAACACAAAAAAAAAAAAAAAAAAAAAAAAAAAAAAAAAAAAAAAATTGATATTTAATTTAATTGGTAACATCCCACCATCTACAATACGTTAATTCCGAAACCGGAAAGTGTTTTGGCAACAAACTGATGCCCGAAGGAGAGGGAAAATCCAAAAGTCGCCGAAAATATGGGTCTATAAATATCACTTTACTTCACATATTTTCACGAAAACGTGCTTTCTGATAAACCTATAGCGGTAATGAAGGCATATAAGCTTGTTAGGTAACCATATGTTATCTTTGGACCGGATAATGCAAACCGGTGGCGTCCAAACTCACAAGCACATCAAAATCGTACGAACTCCGACAACCCAGAAACAAAAAATTAATGCGCAGGTTTCTGTCTGCGCCGGTGATTATACTCATCGCTGCCTTCGTTGTGCCAAAGTGGATGCGTGAAAAAGTCATCAACATTGTGGAGCTCATGGTCATACTCTTCGCCCACATTGTTTTTCTGGTAAGTCTCTGACTCCTGTATGTTGCGCGCCGCGACAATAAATTATTCGTAGTTTTGGGCGGATGAGCTACTCGCCAACTATTTTCATGAGGAAAACAGAACTACGAGCAAGAGTCTTCTATTACCGCCAGTTTGATTGCGTTTGTTGTTATAGTTAGCATGAAGCTGCGAAGCTTGAAGTTCTTTGTTAATGGTGAGCATGACGCGAAACCTTGTTTGATTTACTTGCAGGTTCTAACTAGGCCGTCCAGAGCGAATAAAAACTTTCCATTTCACGTAAGGACGACACAGGTGACTTGCTACACTTTCTCTCTTATAGAGTTATTGTTGCTCGCTACGCGATGGGCCTTAAAGTATCATAAACATTGCGAGGTAGGGTATAAAGCGTTCGACACTACATCCTTCAGATCGTTTGTTCACGCCATTAACTTACAGTCCCGAAATTGTTGAAGTGAAACTTCAACGGCTGTCGAGGCGTTGGTTTTTGCAGGAAGGATGTATACAAGGTGTCATAACGTGAACCCGAAAAAAGGAAACCCGGAAATTTTTAATGAGTATTTTCTACTTAACAATTTTTTTATATGACACATAAAATATAACCAATTCAAGTAAAAAAAAAAAAAAAAAAAAAAACATGCGCGAAGAAAGTCTATTCGCCTTTTGTTTCATAGACATACTTCGAGAAGTCGATTCACACTGGAGACATGCAATATTTTGAAGCGTACTGGACATCACGACAGCGAAAAACCGGTCGGGAACTTTACTGTAGTAGCCAAACTTTTATTAAACCTGGAAAGATAACTTTCATAATAATATTCGGGGTTGAAAAAAAAATGTTTGGTTGATATTTGTAGGTACTATTCAGTTGTTGCGTAAGGACACTATTAATAATAATAATAATAATAATATTAATAATAATAATAATAATAATATTAATAATAATAATAATAATAATTTATTGGGACTTCTTGACTCTGGTGGGAGAACAGAAATTAAATATTATTTAGCCTCATGAGACCCCACCACACAGAGTATATGAGTTCTTTCTCCCCTCTCGAGGTGGACGTGGTGCAGCACCCAGCCATCGGACTCATTTCGGAGAACTACATCGACCGTTTCCCGCACCACGCGTACGCACCCACCGAGTCCATGATCGCCGAAGCTCCCGGCGCGAGCGTCGACTACGAGCGACTCTTCGGCGCAGGCCAGCGGGCCGAGAATAACAACTGGGAACTGGTAAGGACCGAAGGAAACTGCGGTTCGGTGATTTGAGGGTACCTCTGTGTGTTTCCTATGCAAAGAACAAGTCGTCCGCTTCTTGCGAAGGGGTTGCCATGATGTTAGAACGCCAAACTCTTATTGGCTAATTGCAAAACAAAAAAATAGTGAGTAGACTTTAAAGCATCTAGCATTGAGGTTTACCCACTATTTTTTTTAATCAGCCAATAAGAACCTGGCTTCGTTCAGACGTCACTGCAGCTCCTACGCAAGAATCAAAAGATTTACTCTCCTCATAGGCTTGGTGCTGTGCTTTGAGCTTTATGCCTGATTCACATTGTGCGATTTTACTTGTCATTTCGCGATTGCGACGACGTTGTTCTGGTGTATACTGCGCTGCGAAGTTACACTGAACACATCAGACGCAAACGTTTTGATGTGTTAAGTGTGACTTTGCAGCGCAGTATACATAAGAATGACAAACCAACTAGCCCAAATCTAAACATTGTTAGTCTTCACGACGGCGTTGATGTGGAAGAAAAATGCGCGGTTGAAGCTGCAGCGCTCAGCGTCGCAACTGTAAAATCGCGAGCAATATCGGACTATGCGAATTAGACTTTAGTCACACCAATTAAATTTGGGCGGGATTATCTAGTTGTGCGCTCCAACCTGTAATAGAATCAATGTTACCAGCAACCTTGTTTTTTTTAATGAGCATAGTCCGGACGAGAAGGCTCATGCAGCGGAAGCGCCAACCCATGGTTCAAGCTTATAGTTTTTGCACTCGTCTGTTTCGAATAATGTTCGGGTAAAAGTATCTGTAAAAAAATTCACAAAAACACTCTAGATCCAGCGTAAAGTGAAAACATCGCTGGAACAAAGAAGAGGTGCGACACTACTGTAATTGAATAACTATAATGCAATTACTTTTCAAGCATTTTGTAATTATGGAATTCACCGAAATAAAGTGAGGTAAGGGTACTTTTAATTTATTTTTATTACTATAATTGCAAAGTATACTTGAAAAGTTATTTACTCACGTGTATCACGGCCTGGAGTCGCCGCCCCTTTTTTGTATGACTTCTACAGGGTGGGTGATTCAAGGAGAGGCCAGACTCTTGAAATCGACCGCGAAATTCGGTTTCTTACCCTATCGCGCTACGACTTTGTGCAGAATTGCCTACGGATGGTGCCTTTTTTTTTTGTGAAATTTGCAAAGAGTGAACTTACCTGAGGAAAAAGTAAAGAAAGAAAAAGGTTCAGCTCCTATGAAAACGCAGCGACGCCACCGGTCTTCAAACAACAAGGCGCCGTTTCGCACGGGAGACAAGAGATGGCGCAACGAACGCCGCCAACCAGAGCCAGTGTAAAAAGCTCTGCCGCCAACGAATGAGCATACGGCGTCGAGAGCCGGCGTCTTTAGCAGACGATCTTTTCGACTCAAAAGCGGCGCGCGTTCCGCAGGCGGCGACAGTTGCAGAAACAAAATCAGGTGCGGTAACAACAAGGAACTGCAGTTCCTTGTCTGCTAAAGTCGCCGGCTCTCGACGTCGTTCGTTCGTTCGCGTTGTTCGCGTGCTCGTTCGTTGGCGGCAGTTGGCGTAGCGACCGCTTGCGCCATCTCTTGTCTCCCGTGCGAAACGGCGCCGTGTTGTCTGAAGACCGGTGGCTTCGTTGCGTTTCCATAGGAGCTAAGCCTTTTTCTTTCGTTACTTTTTCCTCAGGTAAGTTCGCTCTTTGCAAATTAAAAAAAAAAAGAAAAAAAAAAGGCACCATCTGTGGGCGACGCTGCACAAGTCGTAGCGCGATAGATTAAAAAACCGAATTTTGTGGTCGATTTAAAGAGCCTGGCCTCTCCTTGAATCACCCTGTACTTATTGTGGGTTGCTCGTACGCATAAAGAGAAGCATACAAATTTTACTAGTACTCTCATTCAGAAATTTAGTTTGCAATACATGATTGCGTCAATCCTGTCCGGTTTCATGTTTATTACCGGGGAAGAAGGCACGAGCGATCGCAATATTGGAGTTCTGTTGGTACACAGGGAGTACCATGCAATGACGCCATCTTTGCGGGTTTGCACTTGAAGTCGCAAGTCGTCTGCGAATAGTTTTACTCAAAAGACACCGTCAAAATTGAAATAACACTACAAGTGTTACAAATTATATTATAAGTCGTTTTGTCATTGTATGTTCCGTGGAGCCGACTATTCCAGTTTTATCCGGTATAGCCGACATATCATATAATCTTCTAGAAGGTCTATAATAAGAACTTGTCAAGTTGAAAATTATTTTTTAATATTTTGTTCACAGAAGAACTACACTCAACAGCTTAGTGTGACTCACATGCACGAGTACGTGAATGGCGGCGAGCCGCAAATTCTGGTAAGGACACATTGCTCTTCATTTTTAATAATAGTGCAAAGAATTTTAGCGTTTACAGCATGCTGCGCGATGTTGCATTGTGACCAATGTTAGATAGCGTGATGCACTGCCGAAATACGATTGGCCGGAATGAGTCGTAAACATTAGATCTGCCTACTCTACACTTAAACAGACTGGTTACCACTCAACTGAAAGGTTCTCCTTGTGTTTCTACGCTTCCGTTAGTATATCTGAAACAACAACACATATGTGAAAACGTGTAGTATAGTATATACAACCACAGGGGCCCTAAGCTAATAAAACAGAAAGTTGGAGCCGAATGTTCGCGGAGCGCGCCGATTGGACGTCGGCGAAAAAAAGCGCCAAGTTATCGTCGTGAAAGGCCAATTGGCGCGCTCTGTCAACTTCGGCTCTAACTTTGTTTTTGACGAGTTTAGAGGCCCAGGTTCGCGCAGGCTTTTTTTTTTTTATTTTCGCAGGGAGTTTTAGCGGATGTTTTTGGGGCAGTTTTAATTCATGGCTGCTTCAAAAAAGTAAAACTTTGTTGCACGCCGTGGAAACTTTTAAGACCGAGTTGAAACTCTTGAACCTAGTGAAATACGAAACAAAACGATTATCTTCTTTAGGAATCAACTAGAAACCTAAGTAGAAACAGTTTTTATGTGTCTAACACAGTTGTATTTTGTAACCAGCTCCGAAATTGCTTGAAAAATTGACAACCACAGCAGTATACACTGAAAGAGGAAATGCGGCCACGAGTTCTGATAATTTTCGAGTGAAGCATAAAGTATAGTGTAGACCGAAAGGTCTAGTGATGTTTGGACATAAATTTTACGTTGGACATAATTGAAACGAATACGACAGAGGTAAAATGATTGCTATACTGAAGCTGTAAGGGAAGCGTTAAAAAATTCTTACGTCGTGTTTTTATTTCTGTTTTGTTTTTACAGCCTCCCGTAAGAACATCTTAACGCTGTTACACCGCCTTATCTAGTTCGGAAATATTCGCCGAACGAACTGCTTCGCTTCTTCGCTCAACGTTTCTGCTCAACAAATATAAACACGTGTAGTTACAAAATATATTTTCTTCGTCTGTGCTGCAGCCAACGGTAGGTTAGATTGTGTTCGTTCCCCTCCAGAGCCAACTTCGGCACCACACACCGCACGGTTGTGTTTGTACCGTAACTCACTTCCTCAATACGACACGCCCGCTTGATGTACCGTGAGGCTCTCACTGTTCCTAATCTGTTGTCGATATGGCATGCTTTATCTATTGTGTTACCGAGCAAATTCTTCAGACTGCATGTGATACATGACGACCTAATCCCGCTATGTCATCATGATTTCAATCGCTCTATTTTGAAACTCCTGCGTTGATTGTGACTTTGTTCATAATTGGTTGACGATAATGATGCTGTCATTTTTCTTCACTTTTTCAGCCTTCACCGGCAGAGCCAGATCACCCGACGTCACATGCGCCAGAGTCACGACTCGCTAATAATGGAACAGCCATGTTGCCTCCATGAGTGGGATTATAAAAAAAGGAAACAGAAAGGAAGCCACTACAGCACAGTGTGATCTTGTCTACGCATTTACAAACGTGCCCCAAAAGCATTACCTGAAAAAAAAAATAATTCTTAATAAATAAAAAAAAAAAAAGAAAACCTTACGAGGAATGGTATAAATGTTTCATGTGTTGTTGTTGTACATGATTTGCATTTTTTTGTGTGAAGTTTTTCTTAAGGTTACACTTACTTTTTATTATTATCGCAGCGACACCTGGTCGTAATACTAAAATTGAAGATGCCGCGAAGAGTAAAGCCTTTGTTAACGCACGTTCTAATAGCAACCCCGGGAACTCGACTGATGGAGATGTAATGAAGGCTTAGCCAGAGATATTAAGTGTCCTTGGAATGTCTCGTCTGGCTCACAGACCGCTAGCCAGCGTGTAAATTGGACACCATTTTTGTTTTGCAGACTTGATTAGGGAATGCCTGACGTAGAAAGTGTGACAACCATCACGTCTATCTCCTTCATACCTGTCGTACTTAACCAGATCTTCAGCCAATAATAATAAAAGGAAAACTCGATTGGTTTTATTATTTTGTTTAAGTGGACGCCATTCGAATGTGGTACTGTAGGAGTATTTATACTTCCTCTTTTACATAATTGACCCGGCCGAGACTGCGGAAATAAAAACAACAACAACCACCACAAGACGTACAGACAATGTACGTAGAACTTATGAAACTCGCACACCAGCTGGCTTTTGTCTCTTTGTGTTATGCTTGCTTTTCTCTTTATTTTAGAGCCTGGATTTTAGTTTATTGGCTTTATACCAAATCTTTGTTTTCAGCCCAACTGAGACTTAGAGTCGAACTGAACATCAACCTGGATTGAAGCTTTCAAGCCAGGAAGGTGCCTGGCCAAACATACGTTATGCGGAGGGCAAGTTCGTCTGCTTCTTGCGCAGGGGGTAGTGATGACGTCAGAACGCCGAGCCCTGATTGGCTGATCGCGACCCCCCTACCTGAGCGTCGTCTGCTCCTTTGCAACGTCGTCTGCTCGCAACGTCGTCTGCGTCTGTCTCACCTTTCCTGCGACTTTCGGAAGTGCAGAGGCCAGATTCACGAAACGATCTTACGCCAAAAATATGCGTAAGACAGAACT